AGTTGTCAGATATTTTCTCTTTAGTCCATGATTGTTTTTATGGAATGTTAGATGAGTTAGAGTAGCTATGGAGAAGACAATTGTGGTATGTTTTCTTATCTGCAGTGAGGCAGAAAAGCTTTCTTCACATTTTTTTTTTTTTTTTTTTTTTTTTTTTTGCAATGAGCAAATTAACAGTACTGCCCCCACCAAAAAATATATATAAAGGACTCATGTTAGTTATGTACTCTGAGCAAATCCTTTCTTTAAACATATGGAGTATATCCGACCTGTCAGTGTGATGCTAAAAATGAATGCCCCAAGTGGAGAGTAGGTGTTATCACTTTATCTTTTATTCCATCTTTTCAGTATAGTTACTAGTTGGGCATTAAAGCAGGAGAGACAAAATCCTAGTATCTTAAGTAGTTAAGTATTAAATAATGTAAAGAAGACTTTTATTCTTGGACTAAGATAACAGGTAGGCTTAAATTGCCAGCTAAGATGTATCTGGAAGTGGTGATATATTTTATAAGCATTTAAAACCTTTTGACCTATATTAGATAAGTCATAGCTATAGGAATAGGTGTGGGAAACACAATAAGCTTTTCTCATTCAAGATAAAATGTTTTGAAGCTCAAATTTGATGTAACATTTATGTAGCCAGTGACTTTTGTCCTGTTTGTATGAATGGATACAAAACACTTGAATACCTGCTAATAAATTAGTTAATATTTGGTGTAGTATCTTGAGAATGAGTCAAAGGCAGGTTTTAGTGTCCTGTGTTTTTGTCACCTTTCTTGAGAAACACAGTTGTCTGGAGAAGTAATTTCCACAGTGGTCCTAAGATTCTGAAGACATGCTGTTTGGTTATGTGTCCAGGAGCCATCTCTTCTAGCCATGAGACCCTAAGCAACTTCCTGAACCTCTGCCTTATCTGTAAAATAAGGTATATGCACTTAAACCTCTTGGTCTTGATATGAAAGTTAAATGATCACATGTGAAATGCCTTGCCTGTCCCCACATACGTGGTAAGGGCAGGGTAGATGTTCTCAGTGTAGCAGCAGTACCCTTTGTGCAGACATGTAAAGGGTATCCAGAGATAGAAACTGGCAAAAATTTAGGCGACTTTCTACACAGCCTTGATGTAAAGTATCATTAATACTAACCTGAGTAAAGTGGTGAGCATTTTAGTTGTGCTTTATGATGGCTTACTTTGATAGTCTTTAGAAGAAAGGTTGGCAAGATTTGGGTACTTATGTGATCAATTTGGTGGCTGGAGTGGCAGCACCCAAGCGGTCTTAGGGAGCTGCTGTAGCACCTTGAAGGAAGGGATCGGGTGATTGCATGCCTGCTGTAAACACAGTGTCTTTATGTGGGCTTTTCCTGGGTAGCAGTCTTCTTTAGAGGGCACAAAACCTTAATGGATCAAGGACTGGAAGATGCAAACAATTATTGCATGAGCTCTGACCATGTGATAAATCTGTTTTACTCTATTGTAATACAGAATTGTTTGGTATAATGATTGAAGTACAGATGAGTTGGAAGTATACATAGACTTTTAACCATTTTTCTTGATCCTTTATGATATTATGGTCGTGTGTTGGCTAAAAACAGCCAGGAATGATTTTGTTTCAATGTTTTAAATGTTATTTAGCTTAGTTGTTCATGTTATGCTGCTCTAATGCTATTTTTCTTTGTAGCACTCCTACAATTGTAACCTTAGATTTTAACAGTTTTGAAGGTGAATATTGTAGAATCAGTCCAAGTAACCATAGTCAAGACTTTAGTGATCAATTTAAGAAGTGTTCTGGAGTGCCTTAGATCTTATTAAAATTCTTCACATGCAAAAATAAAATTCCTTCATACCTTATTTTTTAAAAAATAGCAATCTCAATTTTGGGTCAATAAAAAGTAAATTCATGGGCCAGCCAAGTAGCTCAGTGGACTAAAGCACCTGCTTAGACAGAGTGCAGCGGCTGGGGTTCGATCTCCGTCCTGCCATGCCAGTCCCACCCCTGGGGCGCGCTGAGACAGCGATTGAGACTGGGCATGGTGGCACGTGCGTCCGTAATCCCAGTACTTGAGAGCCTGAAAACAGGAGAATCACTACAAGTCAGATCTGTGTAGTGAGACTTTGTAGACCCTGTACCCAATAGACCCTGTATGAAATACAAAAGAAAGCAAGATTTTCAGATCAGTAAAAAACACATTTAAATGTTAGGTAAGCTTTTTACAAAATACATTAATAGAAATTGATCCCAGGGCTTTGCACAGGCTACACAGATGCTCCTCCACTGAGTTATTTCCTGAGCCCACCCATCCATCTGCCTCCCAGACCTATCATCTTGCACTGTTGGGGATTGAGCCCTGGACCAACATGCTGAGTCACATCTCTAGTTCTCCTTATTTGGAAACAGGGCCTTGCTAAGTTACCCAGAGTAGGCTTGAATTTACAGTCCTCCTACTGCAGCTGTCCAGAGTCCTGGGGTTACAAGCATGTTCCACCATGCCCAGGTTTAGTGAGACAGTCTCAACTGAGGTGTCTCAGCTGTCCTAGCATTTGTGATTTTACTCCCTCAGGTTCACAGGCAGCTAGGAGTACAGTTGTATGTCACCATACCTTACTTAGGCTTTTAATCTAAAAAAAAAAAGAAAAGATGAGAAAAATCCGAATAGTTAACTTCCAGAGTAAGAATTTAGTAAACTTTGTTTTTTTGTTTTTTAGTGCAGGGTTTATAGGGCCTCACTACACAAGTCTTCTAATGATCCTCCTGTTTTCAGCCTCCCAAGGATTACAGGTGTGTGCTACCATGCCTAGTCTCTAATGACTTTTTTTTTTTTTTTTTTTAAATCTAATTAAAATCAGAACCAGGGCCAGCCAGATAGATCAGTGAACTAAAGCGCCTGCTTAGGCAGAGCTCAGCAACTGGGGTTTGATCTCCGGCCTGCTGTGCTAGCCCTGCCCCTGGGGCGTGCTGAGACAGCAATTGAGACTGGGTGTGGTGGTGCATGCCTGTAATCCCAGTATTGGGAGGCAAAAACAGGAGAATCACAGTCTGATCTGTGTAGTGAGACCCTATAGACCCTATACTAAGTAAAAATAAACAAATCAATGAATATAAAATCAGAATCAGTTATAGTGATTTTGCATTAAACAAGAATCACTAGTTAGTTGGTGTTGGTAGAATTAGTATAGTAATACTTTTACTCTTAAACTTTGAATATTGAGTCATCCAGAGACTTACACCCATATAAATTTGTAGCTACTTCAGAAATAATACCAGAGCTAGTTTATATAGCTTCTCTTTGGGCATTTCCCCTGAATGTTTAGTTCGATAGTAAATATTACTTTTAATTTTCACAATTTCTTTTTAATAGATGATTATTTTATGTGACTGTTGTAGATGAACTAGTAGAGTATAAAATGTAGAGAATTTTTTATTGTGTTATGATTGTGATGTAAAGTCTTTATGTAAACTTGGTTTATGGGGCTGGGGAGATGGCTCAGTAGAGGGAGTGCTTCCCTGAAAAATGCAAGGGCCTGAGTTCAATCCCCAGTTGTGCCAAAAAAAAAGGGAGGGATTTATAAAATTTATTTGATATCAGAATTTGAACACTGTTTGGTAACAAACTTAGGTATGGTATAGGTAGCAGCTGAGAGTTTAGTTATGGAGTGTTTATAAAGCATAGCTGAGAATGTCGGTTGAGGATGCCACCTGTGATCCCATCACTAGGCAGAACAAGGCAGGAAGATTGCTGCAAGTTTGGGGCTAACCTGGGCTACATAGTGAGCTCAAGGCCAGTCTAGGCTGCAGCCTAGACACAGTCTCAAAATTTAAAAAAAAGTTGAAAGTTGCATTATCTGTAAAGAGTCTACAAGATAGCAATGCTGTGTTTATTTTAGTTAATCTTGAATTAAAAAAAATATGTATCACACTCAGTTCCTAAAATCTTATAAAATGACATACATATATAGCGTGAGACTTCATGTGTGGAAGATGTCCAAAGTTAGAGTCTTTTTTTCAAAACTTATGTCTGGTGGTAAAATTTGAAGGAATACTACACAAGATTGCACTAATTTTTTCTATTTTGTTTCATGAGAAAAATGTCAATTCATAATATCCTAGAAACTGTTCTTACTCTGAAATAAAAATCAGAGAAATTATATTTGAGTTTAAGTATTTAATGTAAAAACATTTTTTTCTATAGGACCGAGGTGATGAATTTACATACACTGGAAGTGGTGGTAAAAATCTTGCTGGTAATAAGAGAATTGGTGCACCATCAGCTGATCAAACATTAACAAATATGAACAGGTACTTTTATAAAGACTAAAATTTGAATGCTATGTAAAAGTTTTCTTATAGGTTTGTAACTGACAATTTAAATTGCAGGGGATTTAAATTAACTCAAATTGGAAGTTAACTCAAATTTCAATGCCTTAATATACAACTGTAAGGATCATGTTTCTTTGTACTGTTATTTTTTTAATGTCACAGTAAATTAGTCTTAATACATATGCTATCTATTTGAAAACATGACACTTGAAAGAAAGGAACTTAAACAATATTAGTGAAATTCAGGATAAGGTGGCTTATTTACTATCCCATAAGTCAACATTGCGATGCTTTTCTCAGTATAGATCATCTTTTAAGAGAGACTAAGTAGTGAAACTTTTTTTTTTTTTTTTTTTTTTTTCCTTTTTTGTGGAACCAGGGGTTGAATTCAGGCCCTTGTGCTTGCTAGGCAAGCGCTTATTCTACTGAGCCACCTCCCTTGCCCACTAGTGAAACTCTTAATGAGACTCATTCATAGGAAATAAGGTTGTGATTGCCAGCCACATATGCATAAGGAAGTATGTTAATGTAATCATACCTACATTTAAGATACTTTTTGAATTTATTGTGATATCTTAATGTTATTAAGTGAGAAAATTTGTTTCAATACAAAATGATCCTTTTGGACTAAATCTTTTATAGCATTATGGAAGAGCCACCTTGTGCTGAGCTTTATTGTACACAAGTATTAATGGCATACAACTATTAAAACTCTGATAAAGTCATTATTTAAACAGAATATGAAACTCAACAATTCCAAAATATTTTGCTGTAAATGCATGCTACTATTAAATAGAAAACAAATCTAGACTAATAGCAAGGCCACAGTTTAATTTGTCAATTATGAAATTGTCAAATTTGTCAAAATATGAGATAATCACATCGTTAAATATTTTTATATAATGAAGAGTGTTTTGTGCATTGAGTAAAAGTATTCCCTTTGAGTCTAAGTCACTCGGTTTTTTTAAGTAGCATCCTTTTAAATTGTGATTACCGTGTGAACTAAAGAGTATGATTTCAAGACTTTATTGCATACTGAATTACATAGAATCTGTTCTTGTATCTTGTATATTATTTCTGACAGTAGGATTATTTTACTGACCCAGCAGAGGAGACAGGTCAGATTTGCTGGTGGAAACATTCCCGAGGCAGAAGCCCAGTCTCTGCATATTCTTTTTCTGTCAAAGATGCAGCTCTTCAGAATGAATGATCTTGAAAGAAGTTAGAAATAGTTCGATGCAATTTTGTTAATGAAAATATACCTTGAATTTGTAAAGGGACTTTTTGAAGTTGTCAAATCTGAAATTTCTATTTTTCCATTAAACAATTTGCATGACGAAAACTTCTTTCATAACTTCTCATTTATAGAATACATGGTAGATTATAAGCTTTTGAACAACCTAATAAGTACTATTACAGTCTTTACAAAATAATTGGTGGGTAATGTGAATGTTTTCTATTAGGAGAGGTGTGAGAATGAGATATTAGCTGAAAATATTTTAGGATTGACTTCTCATATAGACTTAAACATCCAGTTGATTATGTAGTAAGCTGTAAATGTGCCTTGTGATTGTAAGATCCCTAGGGCAAAGATACCTGTATCTCACGAGCGTGAAAACTGAGTGTAAAAGGCCCTTACTTGTGGCCCATAATATACTTTCCCCCAAATGATGTATGTATGGTGAAACTCACTTTCGTTTCTCTCCTGAGACAAAGTTGGACAGCTTCTTGCTTCTGAGTTTATTCCTATTTCTTCCCAGATCTTTCACTTTAAGAAACTGAAGAGGGCAACAAGGTAACCTGGCCATCCTTTATTAGGGCAGTTAGAGGCAACTGATTGAGCTCCAGATAGAGTAATCAACAACTTTGTGGCTGTTCTGCCTCGCTTCACCCTTTTGGACTATTTACGTCTTTGAGTAGCATGTATATGTATCTGAAACCAAAAGTGTGTGGACATTGCTAGTTAGTCATTAAAGTAATCATGACTAAAAGAAAGCACTCGAGATTTAAAGCATGTTCACTCCGTAACATGAAGATATTTATTACTCTAGTTCTTTAAGATACACGTATATCTTGGTATTCCATAAGTAAGATACACTCACCCTAGAGTTAATAGACATATTATCTTATACCTTCCAGAGTTTTAAATTATCTCCCTCTTAAGATAAAAAGATAACTTGGTAAAAACTTTATTCCTTCACTGCAGCTACAAAAGTTAGTTTTAAAAACAAAAGCCCAGAATAAGTTAATTTATTTTAAAAAATGACTATGGTCAAGATATTCCTTTTCAGTGGTTTAGTCATAGTATTAAAATCGCTTTTAAATTTTAGCCTGCATAAAATGAATATACCCCAGAATACTATTTTGTATCATATTTGACTTCACCATATTCACTATACTTTTTTTAACCTTATATTTCCAGTGTATTCTTTTTGCTTATGATAGGATATGGGTAACTTAGGAAAATACTGATTTTTCCCTAGATCATGTTATTTTTGACAGGACTAGGTTTTCCCACCAAAGATCTTCTAATGTCAATAAGCCCTCTTGATTCATTATACTAAGTCAGTATGTATACTTAAGTCAGATGCTTCTTCCAAATTGATGGTCCTCCTTATCTGTCATTAGTAACAGTAATCCCAGGCAGCCAAAAATTCTTTATTGTCATGATTTAACATAAGCATTTTGATGCTTGAGTCTTAAATTTATCTTTTTTTGTGGAGGATTTTAAAGAATATTCTCATCCTGCCATTGTTCTTAAAAAGTTTTAGAAATCTCTGTTGTCTGGAATGTGGACAAGTAGACCTACAGAGGTCGTTTGTACCTGGCTGACAGATTTATTTTTCTGACTTTCTTTCTACATCATTCCAGCAATTTACTTCACCCCCTTATCAAAAATAACTACTAAGACAATCATTTGCTTTAGTTTTCCAACGTTCTCCCTTCCCTCAACAACCGTTATTTAAAGAACATTCCATGTATTTTTAGTTGTTTTCTATTATACGTGGCACAGATGTTATTACTTTCAGAAGAACCCTACAGGCTATCTGAGAACCAATCCCCTGGCTTGGGGGTGACATCAGAAAACTGATTTGTCTTCTCTGCTGGTGGGGGAAAGCATAATCCTATTATCTGGAATAATATGGAAAGAATCATAGACTCTTAACCATCAGGTAAGGCATAATTTACCTTTTAATTGAGCTAATGACTCGATTATATACTTGAAGAAAGATTACTTGGTATAAAGACTTTGTTTTATTTTTTTTTTAGGGCATTGGCCCTAAACTGTGATGCTCCATTGGATGATAAAATTGGAGCAGAGTCTCGGAATTGGAGAGCTGGTAAGCCAGTCAGAGTGATACGCAGTTTTAAAGGGAGGAAGATCAGCAAATATGCTCCTGAAGAAGGCAACAGATATGATGGCATTTATAAGGTGCTCTATCTGGCATGACATCTTGTTAGTCATTCTTCCTGGGCTTTCCAGACAGGGTCACTTCAGGGTCCTGGTGGGTGGGCTACTGGAAGAAGGAAGGTGTCTCAGTTGTATTTCCACTTTCATTTTTATTTCATTAAAAAGTAAAATATTTCCAGTTAGTTTTGGAAATGACTTGAAACATAACCAGATATACAGAGAAAATTGTTAGTTTTTGTACTTCTGTCATGTTTTGTTTTGTTTTCCTTCAAAGCAAAAAAAAAGTTCCTAATGTCTGAGTTAAGAGATAAGGTCTTTATAGATTGATTCCCTATGGTCAAACCATTTAAATAACTTGCCTATTGTAGATCTTTTTCTTTTCAGAATGCTTTTAATGGTTGTAAAAGATTTTGCAAGCATAACATTAAAACATTAAAAATTGTTATGCTTTGCTTGAAAATACAGACAACTTCCACAATTCTTATGCGAAATTATGTTAATGAGCACAGTTTGTTAATGTGCTAAATGTAGTCTATCCTGTCTTTGTGGGAACTATCTAAATAGGGGATGAAGTCAAAATTGTTTTAAACCATATTCTTATTTATTGTACTTACAATAAAGCCAGTGTCTTCTGAAGTTAATTCTGGCAAGCATAAACCACCAATGTTAATCCATTTGAATAAATCTAAGCTTTGTATCTCAATGTACTACTGAAATATTACGCTTTAGGTGGTGAAATACTGGCCAGAGATTTCGTCTAGTCATGGATTCTTAGTTTGGCGCTACCTTTTAAGAAGAGATGATGTTGAACCTGCACCTTGGACCTCAGAGGGAATAGAGCGATCAAGGAGATTATGCCTACGTTTACAGGTTAGATATGTTGTCTAAGATGCTCAGATGTTCATGAAAATGTACATGTCTACTGTGTGTCTTAGCCGAGCTCTTGATCAGTGGACTCATAAGGGTAAAGAAGACGACCATGTGGCATATAAAAGGAAGAGTAAGCAGTTAACATCCTAGGGATCAGACTCTGTCAGATCGCACGTTGTCCGTAGGAAACACTGCACTGGTCAGTGAAAAGTAGAATGTTCCTGGTTAGTAAGCAAGTGACTCGAGGTGTGAGGGAACAAGATTTAGGAAATGTAGGTTTAGGGGACAGTGAAAGGGGCTTCTATCCTGTGAGACATGGAGGGAAGGTGGTGGGGGAAAGGAGTGAAAATGCTGGTAAAAGGGGTCTGCTTCCTACCGTTCTCGCTTTTCTTCACCCTTTTTCTCTCTTCCCCCACAAAGCTGCTTCTCTGCCCTGCTATCCTTTTAGTGATTAGCCTTTTTTTCCCATTTGCTCATGCCTGGCTGTTAATCCGTAGAAGACCTTGTTGGTTTTTATGCCTTCTGGATAGTCTGGCTGCATTCCCCTTCCACTGCCTATATACCCGAAACTGTTTCCCTGCCACTGACTTCGGAGCATGGTTTGCATTTGTCCCTCCTAATTCTCCATGTTGTGCTTCCTGTAAAGACCATCAGCCTTGTTGTTTCCCTTGGCTCTGCCACACTGCACATGTAGGGCTGAACTGTGGGCATGTGTCTGACCTCCCAGGCAGGGGAGTGTGTATCTTTTAGTGGACATCTGTTTGTTATTTTTTAACTCAGAATTTATTGTTTAAATAAGATCCATTAAGCTACTAAAATAATTACCAAAATAATGCCTTTATAAGTAAATATAAAAACTTGATCAAATTCTTGTGTTCAGAACATTAGATGGGTTTGATTTGAAACTGTGAGCCCAACTACTATGATGAATTAATACTGTGAGGCCAAAAACACGTAATACTTTAAAGATAGGTATTATCACCAGAGTATACTATTAAAACAAAGATATGAGGCCGGGGGTATAGCTCAGTGGCACAGTGCTTGCCTGACAAGTGGAGGGTTGCAAGTTCAATTCCTGATACCCGCCCCCACCCCCGCAAAAAAAAAAAAAAAAAAAAAGCCAAGCTAGCTGAGTGTGTTGGCACAAGCCTGTTAATCTCAACCACTCAGGGTGCTACAAGGGAGGAAGGTGAAACACTGATACTGAGCCTCTGATGCATGGCAGGACCCCATCTCAGGAAAAATAAACAATGACAGAGGTAATAGATAGAATGTGTTCCTTAAAACTGAACCCTTCAGAGATAAAAAATTTAGTAGTTTAGTCACTTAGATCTTCTAAAATTTCCCCTTTTTATTCTAACCTCCAGTATTAGGAGATGAGAAATTTGGCCCTGAAGGTTGGTTTTTTTTTTTTTTTTGCGGTACCGAGGATTGAACTCAGGACGTTGTGCTTGCCAGGCAAGCACCTATTCTACTGAGCTATCTCCCTGGCCCCAACCCTGAAGTTTTTGTCTTAGATTGATTTATCTATTTTATTACCATTTCTGTGCTTATCCATGGTTTATCCTCACTTTGGTATCTAGATTCTACATTCCTTTAACTTAGGCTGCTTAGTAACAACACATGAAGTTTTTTTTCTTCTTTTAGGTCTGATACTTAGATCATAAAATGGAATATTTTAGAAATGAAAACTACATGGCCTTAGTCAATTTGGTTTATTATTATTTATTTATTTTTGTGGAACCAGGAATTGAACTCAGGCCCTTGCACTTGCCAGGCAAGTAAGTGCTTAGTCTACTGAGCTATCTCCCTGGCCCCTATTATTTTTTTTAATCAATACATTGTACATTGTTATCTTCTTAGTGGTTATCCATAGTACAAGAAACAGACAGGATATTCTGTCCAAACACTGTTAGTACACCTCTTTCTTTTCATTGAATTAAATGAAAGTAGCTGTAAATTTATCCTATTTTGTATTTATAAATACAAAATTATCTTTCCTTTGTATCCTTTTTTTTTATTGTCTGTCAGAGGTGAATATTCTATTGGCATCTAAATACTATAGGTTGAGCTGTGGGGGACTCAGGTCAATAATTTCTGACATTGCCAGTTAAATATAAGACCCAATGCTATTATGGGCTACTGGACTCTTTTAGAATATTTTGCTGAGTTTACACACCTATAACATTCAATAACGGAACTTAGAAAAAATGGGGTATACCGATGAATGTCCATTTTGTATCTCTGTATTCAAAGAGGTTGGGATAGATATATAGTTGCATTCTCTTAATGAATAGAATGATTTGTTCTAATGGTGTTTGTAAATGGGATCACAAGTCCGCATCTTGTACAGCAATTAACCACTAAGAAGAATATATGCAGTGTATTATTTGTTGAAACTGTCCTTCCGATATGATTTGAAACTGTCTCATTGCTATCTGTTTGTCAATAAAACTTTGAAAAAAATAAAATAAATAAATAAATACTATAGGTGTTTGAATTCAACTAAACAAGCTAACACTGTCTAGTGGGTTATCAGAAGTTATTGACTTGAGCCTTTTATAGCTTATCATATTAATATGGCTTTTATATACCTCGTTTTTATACTTTTCTGCTGAATGGTTAAGACCAAGATATAGCAAGACCTATGTAACAAGAAATGTAACTTTTGTATCTGATAAGGTCAGCCAAGTACTCTTAGGATTTATCCTGTAGCCCTGTACTGCCCTTTGTACATCCTTTTGTCAGTGTCAGCTATGAGGCTGAGTCACAGCCATTGCTTAACCAATTTGCTCTCTGTGAAAGCCTGAGAAAATGTTTCTTTCTCTCCATGTGACTCTCCCCAGGCACACTATACATCATCGAACACATTCCTCTGTGACTCCATAATCTTCTTGAACAGAAAATTTGGAGCACAACTGAGTTACATGTTGTTACAGTACAGGTTCTCCTATGTCGAATTTGGGATATTAATAGTCTTCTGAATTTTTTTTCTTAGAAAGCATTTATCCTTTGTGTAAATTCTTTCAGTTTAGGAAGGAGACTACTCCCTCTGTCCTATCAACCTTCTCCCCAGGCTCCAGACCCTGCAAAGCTTACCTCTTGGTTGTTTTCCCCCTGCCAGTACCCTGCAGGTTACCCTTCAGACAAGGAGAGCAAGAAGACTAAAGGCCAGTCGAAGAAGCCAGCCGGGGAGGCTGCCAAACGGCCACCTGCACGCGGTGGGTGATGCTTGCAGAGTGCAGAGCCTAGCATGCGTGTTCTGATAGCACGGTCTCACACCACGTGGAGAGAGTCCTAAGAATTTAAAGGAAAGGGTTTTGGTGTTCGGGGGCTGAATGATGGGTCTTTTGTGTATTTTAATAATGTCAGCCTCTTACCAGCAACAAATGTAGTGTCCTAAACTCCAGGGTGGGTTAGAAGCTGCTTCCTGTAGTTGAACTTCCTGCTTAGTCTTTTGTTATGGTGACTCTAAGGTGAACTACTGACACTTTAAAACTAAATCTAGATGAATGTCCAAGTGCCTCCAAAGTGATCAAAGCATCAGATTCAGCAGAAGCCACCGTGGAGGCTTTCCAGCTTACCCCTCAGCAGCAGCATCTCATCAGAGAAGACGCTCAGAACCAGAAACTGTGGGACGAAGTGCTGGCATCGCTTGTGGAAGGACCAGTATGTGCAAGTTTTCCTAAATAATGTTGCATTATTAACAAGTGATGGAAAATAATTTTCTGTGAAGTATAATTTTGAAATTATACTTGATCCTGAGGGTGCTGGGATGTGGCTCAATGTAGAGCTCTTGCCTTGCATGCATAAGTCTGGGTTTGAGCCCCAGCACCACACACACACACACAAAAGCATTAACTGTTCCTTCCAGTAAGCCAATAAAAATTAGTAGTACAGTTATCTTAACTTCATTCATATGTATTCCCCCCACCCCTTTCTTCTTTTTTCCTTTCCCTCATCCCAATTGTTCTTTCCCCCCTTTTTTTTTTATGTATTTGTTACAGGGTCTCAGTACGCAGCTTGGACTCATAGTGATCTTTCTATTCACAGCCTTACTAGTGCTGGGATTACAGGCATGCACCACCATGCCCAGTCTCAGTGGCTGGCTCAGAGCACCCGGCCTTGCCAGCACAGCATGTGGTGCTGAGGATCGGGGACCCCCCCCAAAGAAAGGACACTTAATCCGCTGAGCTATCTCACAGGCCCTTGTTCAGTTTCTTTCCCTTTCACAGTGCCTATTTTACCTTTCAGATTTTATTTGCTCTTTCAGCTTCTTACATTAGGGAGACAGTATGATGTTTACACATGTGGATCTGATTTATGTCACTTAAGAGTGTAGTCTCTAGTTGGATATATTTACTTATAAAAGCTTCAAGTTTATCTTTCCTTATAGCTAAGTAATACTCCATTGTATAAAAATACCACATCTTTTTTATCCATTTCTCAATTGATGGGCATTTGGGTTGTTTCCAAAATTCATCTATGACAAATTGCACTACTGTAAACATGGGTACACATATATCACTGAGGTACCATTGTTGATTTCCTATCATTTTGTTTCGGAATTCTGTGTCATTTTTAATGTTTTATTTTTAATTTTTTATTCTCTTTAAAAAAGCAAGACAGATTTTAAAGAAGGAAGAGCTTTCATCCTTTTACTCAGTGCCACCATCTTTCAGAAATTATTGGAGTTAATAAACTTAAATGGCTTTTTAAAATTAATTTTATTGAGAAGTAGCAATGAGAAAATGGCTCTTATATTTATTTTGACATCTTTAGGTTTTTTTCGCCAGGTGTGGTGGTACATATGTACTTCCAACTATTCAAGTAGCTGAATAGGAGGTTAGAAAATTGAAGGTCAGTTGGGCAACTTAGACCCTGTCTCAGAAAGGCATGGAGGATTGGGGCTGGGGAGATAGATCAGTGGCATAAATGCCTGCCTGGCAAGCACAAGGTCCTGAGTTTGATCCCCAGTACCAAAAATAAAGAAAACAAAAGAAAGGCTAACCAAATAGCTCAGTGGATTAAAGTGCCTGCTTAGGCAGATGCAGCAGCCGGGGTTCGATCCCCAGCCTGCCGTGGTGGCGCATGCCTGTAATCCCAGCTCTTTTGGGAGGCTGAAAACAGACCACTACAAAGTGAGACCCTATACACCCTGTAGACCCTTACTAAAATACAAAAAGAAAGAAAGAAAGAAACATGGAGGGGACACAGCTCAATGGTAGAATACCCTAGGGTTTGACCTTTAGTACCACAGAAGCAAAAGGAAAATAAAACAGGTTTTAGCCAATGATGACTTTTAAATGAATATGAATACATTTATAACTAAACTGCTTTCCAAGACCCTGATAGGATAGGCAGCTGCCCCTTCCTGTGCCTGTGTACTCTGACTGCTTTGACTCCTGTATTCTGTGCTGAACAGTCAGCTCCCCAGGATTTTATACACACTGTCTCTGTGACCAGAACTCTACTGTCTGCCTTGGTGAGACTCATTCTTTCATACCTTTAAGACATAAGTATTATACTACCCAGAAACATCCGCCACTGCTCCTTCCTTAAAATAGCCAATTTGTGTCTGACTTTTAACTGGCTGATTTTCCTTAATTTATTACTATCTGAAAGTTATTTTTTGTCTGTTCTCGCATAGGAATATAAATTGCATGAGATTAGAGACTTTTCATTTATATTACCACTGTATAAATATAAATTTATATTTATATAAATAAATAGATGAGTACCTAACACTGTATAGATGAGTACCTAATACCCCATAGGAACTAAAAATATTGATACTACATATAGCTATTCAAAAGTAGACCACAGAGTTACAGGTACTAGGAAAATTTCAAAATTTCAGTTTTCTTCAAAGTAATTTGTTGGGCCGGGGAGATGGCTCATTGGAATAAGCACTTCCGTGGCAAGCACAAGGGCCTGAGTTCAATCCCCAGTTCCGCAAAAACAAAACAACAACAACAAAAACGCAGTAATTTGTTAACAAAAGGGTACCTGGTATAAAATTTTGAGTTTTTACCATTTATCTGTGGATGTGTTTGTTTTTGCTGTCAGTGGGGATTGAACCGAGGGCCTTCACACTGGGCTACATCCAGACCTTTTTTAATTTTGAAACAATATCTCACCAACTTGCTAAACTACCCAGGCAAAGGTGGAACTGGAATCCTTCTTAGCATTCCAGAGTGAGGGATTACAGATGGGGTTATACAGTATTTATAATTTACTTGAATTTCTAATCCATGTTAATGTAACAGCATCAAAGCATGTTTTGAAATACACCATTTTTTTCTTACTTGAAATTATTATACATTTGCCCTTCTGTTAACAAAAAGAAAAATAATACATTCTCTCACTTCCAAAAATAACTAAAGGGTTATCTTTGTAACTTCAAAACCTACCATTTTTTTCTAGTTTAAAAGACATGAATAGCCTGGCTTGTACTGCTAATGGCTTTTAAAGATACAGTATATGAGATCTATTTGAAAATGCTTTCTTTAGATAACTGTACATTTTATAGTTTTATCCCACTTTAGGTATACATTAGCAACCAAAGAAATAGACTTTGGCAGTTGAGGCAAAATATCACCAAAAATCATCAAAAATAGTATGTTGATTCTTTGTGGTATTAAATATGACAGAGTACTTTTGCCTAGTTCTTTTTTGACACAGAGTCTTACTGTGTAGTTCAGGCTAGCTTTGAACTCACTATGTAGCCCAGTCTACCCTTGAACTTGTGATCCTCCTGCTTCAGCATCCTGAGCGCTGGGATTACAGCCATGCACCACCACACCCAGCTTTGTTGTTGTTGTTGTTTTAAGCTTCAAAAATGTTTTGTTTTATATCAGTAACATGTTCAGTGGATGACTTTCATATACCAGAGTAGAACGCAGTCGTGCCTGTGAGAAGGTGAGCACGTAGTGGCACTTCTAGGCTGTGTTGTGTTTTGTTTATGTGATGCTAGAATTGAGCCTTCTTCATGTTAGACAGTCCCTCATGCCACTGAGCTACCGCCCTTGCCCCTGATTTTTTTGTGTGTATCAAAAGTAGTTTCTCTTGGAATGTGATATGTAGTTGGAATTTGGGTTTTCTTCACTCGTGTTTGCTTGAAGTAGTTGAAGATTTTCTTTTTCTTAATATTAAACATTAAATATAAGTCAATTTTTGATCCTCTAGAATTTCATTGTACATTGTGTACTGCTAACATTGTTTTCCTTTCTCTTGGTGACATTTCAGAACTTTCTGAAAAAATTGGAACAATCTTTCATGTGTGTTTGCTGTCAGGAGCTAGTTTATCAACCTGTGACAACAGAGTGCTTCCACAATGTCTGTAAAGTAAGTCGGATTCCCCTCCCACTTTATCCTGACAGACCTACGGGGACGTTAAACTGTATACCTGCTTTTAGCATGTGAAAACATTTTTTCTTGCAGGAGAACAGCTATGGAACCTTGCCATTTAAGACACATTTAATTACAGCTTGGTTGTAAATACGTGTTTTAATTTTATTTTAATAGAAAGTCTGACATATATTGCTTTTAGTGTTACAATATGTTTAGAATTACGGAGGAAGGGATGAACTAGAAGAAACCAAGATTATTGTTGTTTTCGATATGAGTTTGTGAATTTTAGTTTTATGCAATTGATAAAAGAAATCTGAAACAGATTTTTTTCTGGCAGGATGCTCGCATGATACAAATATTATGTTATCATTGTGTTATGGAAGGAAAATTTGAGTTTTAGTCTAGTCAAAGTTAGAAACCTGCTATACGAAGTGGTGGTTTTATTCCCTGACCTAACTTCAGAACTTGATTACTTTTAAAAATGGGAACAATTCTCTGTATGTGTTTGTGCTTAAGCACCAGTTAATTCTGTATATTTAGTATAGCTACATATATTTTTAGAAGATGCATTATCTGTTAAGTGATAGATAAGTATATAACTTATTTCTAATGAACAGAAACCTGGGTTTTTACCTCCTTTCCTGCTGCATCAGTAAACAGCTAGGCTTAAATAAGTCCAGCATAAATGATCAGGCTAGTAGGAACCACACTTACCAGATGAGGCGATTGAAGCACAAAATAGTTAAAACACACTAAGCTCTCACAGTATTTGTCAGGGGTAGAACTATGTATAGACTTTGAGTATAAATGGTATAATTTATCTTCAGGCCTTTTAAGGTGTACACTTACTATAAACAGTAAGTTTCTAATTCCTGTTTAAAAGCCTAAGCTACTGATTTCTTTTCCATGTTTGACCCTCTTATAAAATTGGATTTGTGTGTGTGTGTGTGTGTGTGTGTGTGTGTGTGTGTGTGTGTTTCCCCCTTTGTTTTTACCTTAGGATTGCTTGCAGCGCTCTTTTAAGGCCCAAGTTTTCTCCTGCCCTGCTTGCCGGCATGATCTCGGCCAGAATTACGTCATGATTCCCAATGAGATTCTGCAGACTCTACTTGACCTTTTCTTCCCTGGCTATAGCAAAGGACGATGATCGATCTACTTCTGTGTTGTTCCGGTGGCTTATTGGACAATAAAGAATCTAAAGTGGGTGGGGAGGGAGGAAACAACAGTGGACCATCTCTCTCACATTTTGAAGCAGCTACTCCTCTTTCCCACATAGCCATCACCTTGTGTGTGTAGTAGGGGCCCATTTTTCAGCTGTCTTAACTATTAAAAGGTAGTTCTGTCAGTAACAACTAGTTTTAATGAGTAAGTCAAAGCCTCAGCTCTAGTTGATATCCAAGTTATGATTTATTTTGCAACTACCTCAGGACAGAAAAGATTTATGGGGATTTTAAAAATCATTGAATAATTAGTTAAATGAGATTTTAGCTACACACTGCCTCCCAAATATTAGTTGTGCCTGGTTCTTGTAATTTGATTTTATGAAAAAGAAGATGACACGAGATTCTTGGAATGAACGCAGCTTCTGTAGTATGCATAACACTTTTTAAAATGTCTCTTCTTCCATTACAGTATGTTTTTGCAAGGACAGGTTCGTTTTTTAGCCCATTTTGTGAGCTCCATTGTGCTTTTCTTCTGGTGTTTTATGCAAGTTGACTACTAATGACTAATGAAAACAATATGAATGCATTCTTGCTGCATTAGTGTAATGTGGTGTGGTTTTGCAGTTAAAAGAGGTATTCAGATGCTTTAGTTGTAAATGTTCATGAAAAGCCACTTCCGTATTAGTCAAACTGCTTTTTAGTGAGTTTCACCAGTGATTTTATATCTTCAGAGTATTGAGGGTTGTTCTGACTTTTGAGGGGGTTGAAATTGCTTCATATTGTGACCCTAAATTTTATATTCACTATATTCCTTAAAAGTATACCTTAATAAATATTTTATGATCAGAAAGCGTTCATTTTGCTTTACTTCTATATAATTTTATGGTTCATGTTATGGATTTTTAAGAATCAGTTTCTTGAAATTTTCATTGTATGTCTTTATTAAAACATTTTGACTCCGAATTTTGGTAATGACTAGAATGAAAATTTTCTAACCTAATGCATATTAATTGTAAAATAAGGTCTTACAGAGACAAATCCCATCTTCAGTTTAAATTTCTTTTAAAGTGTTCTATTGAATGTGGAAATTTTGAAAGAACATAGTGAATGTTCTTTTATCTGTAACTCCTATATTCCATTTTTCCATGAGTGCTGCTTATTTCAGACATGAGACCATTTTAAGTGTTGTTCTGTTATAGTCATTTTTATCAGAGAAAATTTTAATGTGATCATGTCTTTGTAACCCTATTCAAAGCTAACTAACCGTCCGTCTGTCTCAGCGACATTTACTGAATGTCTGCTTTGTGTAGTCACGTGACATGTACCTCTGGCAGTCTGTAGCAGAAGCTTGATGGTCTCGTGCGCTGCATAGGTTGTCACTCGTGCATGTCTACATGCACTTAAATTCAAAATCAAGAGTCCATTGTGACAGTGAATCTAATGTCACTGAGTATCCCTTAATATAGTGATCTTTCCGTAACTGTGATGGTGAACCTTGTAGAGTTTTCAGTGATGACAACAGTCCACTGTGACGGGGGTGCCATAGGTTCACCACCACTGGTCAAGCCTTAAAAGAAGCCCAAAAATCATTTTTATTGTGAAGAATCATTTCATTAGGATCTTCTTAGATTGAAAGTGAATTATAAGCTGTATTGCCCTGGGCTGTATTCCCTATAGCATTTGACCAGGGTGAATGAAGACTGGGAAGTAATCTCCCTGTTCCAGCTCTTTGAAGTTTAATTCTACTGCTACTGTTAGTAAAGTAAGTACATCTCAGAATTATGCTGTGTTATCTTAACTCCACTACAACAGAAGGAGCTAGGAAAGAAGGATAAATACAGCTGTCAAGAAAGGGCAAAGCTAAGGAATTTTGTATTCAAAAACTTTTAAGTTTTTTTAAGATGAAGTATTTTTACATAAATATTTCAAAGGATATGTAGAAAATAGGGACTTTTCAAAAGACATTCCCAAAGTACTATTGTCACATGTTAAAAAAAAAAAGCAACACAGAATTTCTTTACATTATAAACTCTAATAAATTTCCTGGATTTCCCTTAAATATTGTGAGTGCTTTTATCTAGATCAAGATCCAAATACTTTACATAGTGACTAATTGGTATTTAAATTCCTTTCTTTAAGACAGGGTTTCACTATGTAGTTTAGGCTGGCTTCGAACTTGCAGGTTCTGAAGTGCTGAGATTGAGACGTGCCTCTTAGCTAGTTTTTAAGTGTGTGTGTTTCCTCGGTCATTTATCTTCTGTGCTACACACATACACACTCCTTTACTGTTTGCATTTTGTAAAAATAAGATGTTCATTCTGAGATGTTTCTGGCCCATTTAGTTAAGGTACCATAACATCACTCTGTGATGTAGCTTAACATGATTTGTGTGAATTGGTAGAAGTAAAAGTATGACCACATCCAGTTATTATTTTTTTCTTTTGCAGATTTCAGAGATGGTATGTCATCAGAAAGCATATGATACCTGGGTGTCTCTTAAGGCTTCAATTTGAAAAACAAGCTTTTAGGAAATAATTGGAATTTTTTACATTTAATAGGGTAGAGTGACAATTGTTGAATACTAATATTTCATGTAGCTAGAACTGAGGGTTTTTTTTTTTTTTTTTTAAGTGATGGTAGAAGGGACCTAACTTTTAGGTGATACAATTTATTCATATAATGTACATGTTAGCATAAGGATTTAGGTGAACCTTGAGGTTGGCAGTGTAAACATAAAACTAGCTTTCTCACAACCATAGCATGTATGACAGTTTAGGGGACAGAAGAAGACCATACATACTTAAAACCTTGGATTCTATTGTAGTATCTACTGCTAAGAGATGGGTAGAGTTCCTCTCAGACTTGTTCATTTTCTGTTCATTCTTTGAGATGCGCCTAATTTGATAGAATTAAGCTCCGTGGTCCATGCCCCCTGGTAAAGGAATTATTCCACAGAAAAGAATTATTTCTGTTTGTCCACCATCAGTGGACTGATACATGTAAGCTGGTCCCTACAACCAGGACTTTATAGTCCCTGAGGAAGTGATATGCCATGGCTTAATTCAAATCTGTGCCAAGAAAAAAAAAAATCACTAGATATAAGAACTTACTTAAGAGGGGCTATTCAAATGACTTGTACAGGGCTGGTAAGATGGCTCAGTGGTCTAAAGCACCTACTTAGAACAAGCTTAGCAAAGCACAGGGACCGCGGTTCAATCCCCCAGCACCACATGCCAGCCAGCCCCGCCCCCTGGTGGGCTGAGCTGGCCACACACACACACACACAAAATTTTTTAAAAAACAAAAAAAAAAATGACTGCTACAGAGGACAGAATAAGCCAAATTTTACTATATCCTCAAGTATGAATGTGGATTGCATTATTAGAATGGAAAAGAGATGCTGTGTGAGGACTAATTTGAGGTTTACATTCTTTGAACTAAGCAGGATTGTAAAAACAAAATGCAACAGACAAAACAGACTGGAGACTGCCAGAAGTTTGAATGCTTTGCCAAGTTATTTGTTTTATATGGATATGCCACAGTTTATTCATTTATGGATGGCTATGTGGATTGTTTACAGGATTTTGCTGTTAGGAATAAAGCTGCTGTGAACTGTTGTATATCAGTTTGGAAAACAGTTGTCAGTTGCTTACAAGATTACATACATGCCTACTATTAGATCCATCGGTTTCACTAACTTTTTTTCCAGAAAAATAAATACATATGTTCAAAGTGGTTTATACCTTACATATTTGTTCCAGTGATGTATCAGAGTTCTAGTTGCTTCATACCCTAACACTTGGTTTTAGAAGCATTCTGAGGAGGCTGAGCTTACTGATTTTGTCTTAAATGCATGTTCAATATTCGGTGATAGGAGAGTGGATTGTACTGCTCATTTGTAGTGTAGCATTCAGGTATTTCTCTTAAGAAGCACATGATAGGATTGTACTTGCTACCCTGTGTGTTTTGGGATTCAGCTGTTTACCAGTTTGGATATTGACCTCCTCACAAGGCTCATGTATTGAATGCTTGGCCACCAGCCTATAGCACTAATAGAAGATGGAGGCTTTGGTTTACAGAGGTTAGGAGAAAAAAGTCAGACCACTGCCATTGATGGCAATATTGAGACCCTGGCATCCTCACCTCTCTTTGTGGTTCCTTACAACCATGAGGTGAATAGGGATCTTGTACCATGTACTCCTTCCATGATGTACATGAGGCCCAAAGCAACAGAGCTAAGTGACTACACAAAAACCTCTGAAACAGAACCAAAATAAACCTTTCCTTTATTACATTGCTGTCTCAGGTATTTTTTCATAGTGATAGAAAACTGACACTGGAAGTTGGTGCCAAGAAGAAAAGTGGTTGCTGTGACTGCCTTTGAAATTGGTTTCTGGAAGGACTTTGATAAAGTTTGAAGAAGTGGGGTAGAGAAAATCTAGAATGCTGTAGAGCTTAGTGGTTGATTCTAATGAGCACTCAGAAGAGTGAGCATTAGGTTTGGGGTGGAGAAACACTCAAATGGAAATTGGACTAAATACCACCCTTTTCACACTGGCAATACGTTTTGAATATGTTCGGTCCATGCTTTGAGGCTTGTGTGAGGAAGAGTATAAAGGCGTCTTGCAGATGGAAGTTTAAACAGCAAAATATTTAATAAAGAACAGAATACAAAAATTAGGAATACTTGGCATTAGCAAGGAAGAGGACATGCTTAAAGGTGCTGCTAAGGACAGTACAGCTGCTAAAGAGAATTGGTGTCATTTGGCACAAAAGGAGAGTTGAGGGTATATCATCTCTACTATCCCAGCCCATCTGTTGCTCAGCGTTCCAAAACTAAATTCTTTAGAGTACCCTTTTTGTACGTGGTTGCCTAGGAAACTTTCCCTTGTTTTATTTCTCAAAGGTCACTAGAAGTACTCTTGGTTCAAGTAGCCTGAGTATAGTTTATACAGGTGTTAGACCTGGTGTCATCCATGGAATGCTAACTTTGTAATCAGTGAGAATGCAGGAGTCCTTATCTGGGGGTGTAGTACTGCATTAACCCATTAAGTGGTTGAGCATTATTCTGGGTATGGCTGAATGCATTTACTGAATGGGGAATCAGAAAGTTTATAGCCTGGGAGGAAGATAAGGAGACCGAAGGCAGGCTTGCTGCCCGGTGCCTGCCCCACTGTGACCTGTTTCTCTGCCACGCTGCTCTGAACTGGACCCAGAAGACTACGGACGGACAGCTCTACAGATGGAGCTGAAGTAAATCTTTTCCCCCTTTAACTTTCGGTATTGGACATTTGGGCTCCACAATGAGGAAAGACAAGCAAACATTTCTAATGAACTTTTAACTTGGTAAATGAGCAATGTCTCACAGTATGTATGGTTTGTGACACTGAATGTCACATGATCACAATTGAGCCAAAGGCTCTGTCTCACTCCCAACAGCATGAAGGTGATCTCATCTGTAGAGAAGAGAAAGGCAGATGAATCCTTCAAATGAAATCAAGGAAATGTGTGGAATGTGACAAACTGAAACATTTTGTGGAAAAACGCCAAGTGATGAATCTGTGTAATGACAATGTAATATTGCATTTCTGTGAAATCCTTAACAGGTAAAGCAAATGTCATTCACTTGCTTACTAAGATTCCTAATATTAAAGTTGCACAATGGAGTAGACTGCATTAAGCTAATACAGCATTGATTAGTGATAGTGAAAGTCATCCTGCACAGTAACCCACCTCTCGCCTCCCTCAGACCAGCCACAAGCTTTGAAAGGTAAGTGGGGGTTAATTTTTTCATTTTGCATTTTTTGCTGTTCTGTATTATAAATTATTGTAATCATTTTTAAGTGAATTTTTGGGTTGTGGAACAAATCATCTGAGTTGTCATTCTGGGGAAAATTTGCTTTGTTATACAAGTGCCTTGGATTACGAGCATGTCTCAAATGAATTACACTCACAAACCAACGCTTTACTATACATCACTAAGAGGCCTGTGTTAAAGGTTTGGTCCCCAGCCTGTGGCAGTGTTGGGTGGTCATGGAACCTTTAAGAGGGGCTTCCTAGTGGAAAGAAGTTAGGTCCCTGGGAGCATGCCCTCTGAAGAGGTTGACACATGAACAGTGTATCACGATAGCCAGTTAAACTGTGAGGGCCAAGCATCCCATTTAGGCAGAGCACATCATTGCCTTCATAGGCGTCTCCTTTGTAGCAACAACCCCAGCCAACTTGTGTGCATACAGGAAAAGGGAAGCTTTCAAGCCCAGGAAGGCTTTGAGTTACTAGTACAGTGTGCCCTCACCTATCTTGACAGAAGTGCTCCTGAATGTCTTAACCATAAATAAGGAATTAATGTTAACCTTTTGATTTTTTTTTATCTAGTACTGTCACAATTTTAACCTAGTTCTTTAAATCATTTCACTATGAACTCAATAGTGTGGTGGTAAGCAATCTGTAAATCTCAATTCTCAAATGCAATCTCCCACTGAAGTGTATACTCCCAGTTTATACTGAAATTAATAATACACAAAAATGATGGCATATCATTTCCAAAATTATTTTACTCAAATATACTTTGTTCACATGAAGACTTCTGCTTTGAGTGCTGTCTCTACTGAGGGAGCGCATAGAGAGGCACACAAAACAAGGAATTGGTTTCTCATATTGAAGTAATCTCTTCAGTTCTACAAGAGCAAACTTTGAAGTGAATCCTCTTCCCTTAATCTGCTAACCTTTACATTAACTTCTTACTATGCAGCAAAACATAAATAGGATGACTATAAGTACTATTTTATCTAGGACATACCCAATTGTACTTGTTGCTCCAAAGTGATTATGAAACTATTCATTTTTAGACCATCTCAGATTAGATATAATTGCCTTATTGATAGACTCAATTGAAAAAGATAGCCATGAATTCATTTTTATGCTAGGAAATACTTTATCAACCATAGCCAAAATTTGAAAGCAGTTTCTCTTTCAGATGATAATGATTAACA